AAGGGATGGGGGGGCAGTGTGGGTCAGCTCAGTCTGGAGTGGAAAATTGACTGTGCTCCACTCCTGTGCCCAGCTGAAAGGGGCAAAGTGCTCTAGGATTGATGTGATCCCCCTTGCCCTTCAGAATAGGGTTTCTTCAGTGCTTTGGGCTTCTGTAGTCTAGGATAACCTTGGCTTTGCAGGTCCCTAATGAGTGCCCCCTTGCTTCTCCCCAGATAGCAGACTTTGGTCTGTCTAATGTCTACCAGCAAGACAAATTCCTGCAGACCTTCTGTGGCAGCCCTCTTTATGCATCCCCTGAAATCGTCAATGGGCGGCCGTATAAAGGACCGGAGGTACGTTTTCATCTCCCACATCTGGAGCAGCTCAAGGGTCCAGCTGTGGCCATTGCACTCTGTGCTGGAAGTGGGGAGAGGCCTACTGGCTCCCAGCTCAGTTGCATTGCTGCTAATGCAGGGCTTTTCTCGTGTTGCGTTTCTCTGCAAGCTGAATTCTGGGCTGGGGGACTGAGACCACCAAGCCTCACGCTCCACTGGCACCACAGGGTGCCAGCTTTCAGGTCACCAGTCTCCTTCCCTGACCTGACACTGGAGGCCTACAAATCCACTGGGCAAGGCACAGTCTGCTCAAGAGCGTGGACTTGTAACCACTTTCTCAGTAGCTGCTATAGCTTGTGCTGCACAGCACTTACTTTGCTGCCGACTGTACCCTCACGGGCTGCTCATGAGGTAGCCAGCAGCTGCTGGAATTTGTCGCTAGCCCAAATGCCCTTCAGGGGTCAGCTTGGCAGGGGGGGTCTCTGCCAACCCCTGCCGATGCTAACATGTCTAAATGAAGGTTTGTCTGCGTGGCAGGTTGACAGCTGGTCCCTTGGCGTTCTCCTCTACATCTTGGTCCACGGGACGATGCCCTTTGATGGACAAGACTACAAGACCCTGGTCAAGCAGATCACCAGTGGGGACTACAGAGAGCCCACCAAGCTATCGGGTAAGCAGTTCTCCAGTATACTACCTCAGAGCTGCTTATCCTCTTTCCTCCAACCCCTTTGGTGCCCTGTTTTACTGCATGGCTCTGAGGTAGTATACTGCTCCATGTTCTAGATGCCAGCGGCCTGATCCGATGGATGCTAATGGTAAACCCAGAGCGCAGAGCCACCATTGAGGACATTGCTAGCCACTGGTGGGTGAACTGGGGCTACAAGGTGCCCATCGGGGAGCAGGAATCGATGCGGGAGAACGAGTCCCCGCTGGCCACGGTGGCAGACTGGCTCCGGCGCTCCTCCCGGCCTCTGCTCGACAACAGCTCCAAGGTGCGCTCCTTCTTCAAGCAGCACATCCCTGGCGTCACGCTGGAGAGGCAGCGCTCGCTCAAGAAGTCCAAGAAGGAGAACGACGTCTCCCATGCGCTGCAGGAGGTGGCTGCGGTCCCCGACACCCCCTCCAAGTCCATCCTGAAGAGGCCGAAGGGGATCCTGAAGAAAAGGGGTGTCTGCGAACAGAAAGCCCAGGCCCCCGTCCCTCAACCAGTGGCTGATGATGCGAGGAGTGAGGAAGGCGAGATGCAGACCGCCGACCTGGTTCATATCCTGTCCTCCAGGACACTGGCCTGCAGAGTGGACGGTGGCACAGCTGCACCGGTGCCCAAGAAGGGAATCCTCAAGAAGTCCCCGAAACGTGAATCTGGGTACTACTCCTCCCCAGAGCACTGTGAATCGGAGGAGCTCTTGGACTCGGAGGCCTTGGACCTCAATGCTGATGTCTTCAGCAGTCCCTCTCCCGGCCGTAACCCCGAGGGCCTGCCCCTGCGGAGGAAGGGTATCCTAAAGCACAATGGGAAGTACTCTTCCTGTGGCACGGAGCCAGACAGCCGCCTCGTCAAGGCTTTTGGGTCCTTCAGTGAGGCACCTCTTCCCAAGCTCCCGCTGGGGTCCCGGGCCCACCCGTCCAGCGCCGTGAGCGAGGACAGCATCCTCTCCACCGAGTCCTTTGACCAACTGGACCTGCCTGACAGGATGCCGGACAGTGGCAGCAGCATGCGTGGCTGCGTCTCTGTGGACAACCTCCTCCAGCTGGAGGAGACGGAGGAGTCGGGGCACAGACTGCGCCGCTGGACGGTGACGCACTGCCAGAGCCCCCTCGGGGAAAGCTGCTTCTCCTTGGCGGACTGTGAGAACGTCACCGAGGTCTACAAGCGGGCTGTGGGCATCAGCATGAAGCTCAGCTGAGCCCCCTGCATCCTCCCTGCGAGCTCTGAGCCTGACTCTTGCCATAGATTCCCCTCCATGGGAATGTGACTTTTTTTTTTTTCCTTTTCCCTCTGTGGAGGAGGTGACTGTCTTGAGTTCCCCTCTGAGTAGGGGGATGCAGGTTGGAAGTGCTGCTGTGACACCCTCAAAGTATTTATTTGCATCCTTGTACTCTGCCTCGGTGGAAGGTGCGGTGCGGGGGAAGATGTCTTGGCAAAGAGCCGGGCAGCTCCCTGCGGTGTAACAGGGTACAGACAGACGTGGGTTTTGGAGGAAATGCCTCTTGCTTGCAGGAGAGGGGATGGAGAGTAACAAGGCAAGTGCAATGAGCAGTAGGGAGTCGGAGCAAGTGCCCATCTCCAGCTGTAGGTGACATTATGAATCGGGGGGGGGGGGG